CAGGATTTCGGCCAAAGCACTCAACCATGTCAGCACTCATCCAAATGTGCGACCAGTGGTTAGAGAATATGGACAACGGCATGTTAAACGGTGTTGTATTTCTTGACATTAGAGAAGCTTTTGACTCAATCGACCACTCTATTCTACTAAAAAAGATGAATAAGCAATTTGGAATTTATGGGACTGAACTAAAATGGTTTGAATCTTATCTAACCAAGAGACAACAAGTGTGTTTTGTCAATGGTCATACATCGTCTCCTAGACAAATAACATCTGGAGTCCCACAGGGCTCAATTCTTGGCCCACTATTATTTTTACTGTATATTAATGATATGCCAAAGTGTTTAAAATCTACAACCCCTTGCCTCTATGCTGATGATACTGAAATTTTTGCATCATTTGATTATGATACACTTGTCAAAAACTTCATAAACCTAAATGATGATCTGGAAAATATTCACACTTGGCTTACCAAAAATAATTTTAAATTACAACATCATCCAACTAAAACAAAATTGATGCTCATTGGATCACCATACAATTTTAAAAATAGGATTGGTGAAACTACTGTATTTTTTGGCGACAAACCAGTACCATTAACTCATTCTTTTGAAAGCTTATAGGAGTAGAAATTGATGAAAATTTGAGCTGGGAAAAACATATTGATAAAATATGTAAAAAGGCAAGTGCCGGTATTGGGGCTATTGAACGCGCTAAACCGTACGTTGATATTAATACACTACAAACCATATATAAAGCACTAGTGCAGCCATATTTTAACTATTGTTCCACCCTATGGGGAAACTGTGGTAAATTGCTCCAAGACAAACTACAAAAATTTCAGTCTCGCGCAGCAAGGGTAATAACTGGTGCCACTTACGATGTAAGGTCACTTGACATTCTTAATACCCTGTCTTGGGAAACACTTAATTGATAACAGAAGAAATAAGTCCAAGGCTGTGTTTATGTACAAAGTGCTAAATGACCACGCTGCCCAGGTCTAAAAGAATCTTTTTACAAAAGGAATGTGACACAAAATACCTATAATCTCAGAAATAATTAACGAAAATGATTTAACTCTTCCAAAACCTAGAACAGAATATCTAAGAAGAAGCTTTAAGTACAGCGGCGCTATGTTATGGAATGACCTTTCGTCTGCAGCTAAATCGTCGGATACTCTCGAATGCTTCAAAAAAGAGATAGGTGCAAGTTAGAGGATGATTCTGTGCTATATGTGGTAATCTAACTTTTGTATATAGTTGTATATAATATTTTTAAATTGTAACTTTCTAACTTAATTATTTTCTTTGCATTATTTGTGTGACGCCCCTCGTGGAAATCAGCACCATGTTGATGAGGCAAGCGTATTTAAATAAAGTTTTTACCTACCTACCTACCTACCTACCTACCTACCTACCTACCATACAAATATGTGCGCATTCATGATTTACATTTTGATAACATAGCACGTACAAAATATTATATTTAGATTTTACCATTGTATGGCGATTTCAAAATGTATAAATTGTAAGAGTTGGGATGCAATTCAACAATGGCCATTGCCAAATTTCCATAGGCAGATTTTATCGCATTTATAGAATGTGTTGAAAATGTTGTATTATTACTATAGCTGTAACTGTTTATTTACAAAGGTTTAAGTATATACAAGCAACGGGCTCCATGGAGTTACCAATATTTTAAATATATTCGAATATCTGTTGTATTTATCGACTCTTGACTAGTTTACAAACTTGCAATAAACTAATAAAGTGAAATCGACAAGTTTCATTGTACTTTTAGGTATTACATGTATGTGTCAATCATCGTTGTTAATTATTGCAAAATGCAAAGTCGGCGGAAGGCACTTTTGACAACATTTTCGTCAGACCTACGTTTCGCCCCTTCCGTCGACGAATTTTAGGGCGGGTGAAACGTAGGTCTGTTATCAGGCTAAATTAAAGTTGTCACTGAGACAATAGTCAAATGCAGCCTAGACCTAGGCCTTTACTCGGCTGGCTTTGGCAGTTATCTTTGGCAGGTTTGGTCAATTTTCCGGCTAGCATTTGGTAATTATCGCAATGTTAATTTTTTCGCTTGCGTCCATCCTCCGCCCCGCCCCCAAATCACCTAGTCCCATTCTTTTTATGTAAAAAGTGCGGAATATTAAAAAAAATAATAAAAATAGAAGGCCTATGTCTAGGCTGAGTCAAATGTAATATGGGCGCTAAAAGGATCATGGGAATAATCATAGTTTTAAATAAGTCATCATATCAAGTCCCCTTGTGGGTATGCTTTTAGCGACAGCTCCCAAAGCAAAGGTAGTTTTAGAATATGCAAAATTTGGTTGTTGGTGAAACAATTTAAATTTCGAGTTGTCGCGTGCAGCATCACAATAAATAAATAAATGGTATATCAGTTCCACGAGGCACGACATTTTTTTTATGTGTTAGCCAGTTGTTTCTAACGTCTCGCTATTCATGTGGCGAACGCATTAAAAACAATACTGTCAATAGATGAGATGAAATGCCTTTGGTAACGTACTGTTTATTTGTAGTGTAATGGCTCAGCTTTTATAGGTAGTCGGCGACCCTATATAGTTCTTGCAGTGTCTTTTTCAATTTGAAACTTCACACTATCCTTGGATCCCTAGTTATAATTTTATTTTTGAATGAAAAATGTCATAATTGATTATATATGAGACATCAAGCTGTGCTTTATTGCAGAAATGAAAATTTAAGATTTTGATCAAGTGATCAAAAGATGAACATTCAATCCTTACATATTGCGAGCCAATGCTCTCTCCTTGAGGCTAGCCTGCGAACAGGCTCTCAAGCTGAATTGAGAGCCTGCATCGATGACTAATGAATTTGAATATCTGCCCCGTAACGTTCGTTTTTCCAAATATGGAATGTCTATCCTTATTTGGTGTTGTTTACAACTTTCGTGCAAACTAAATTTAGACCGTGCAAACTAAATTTAGACCGTACAGTTTATACTGTTTTTCGAAATATAAGATATTCAGGCAAAAGTTCCAATGATTTAAATACTGTTTTCTCAAAACAGAACATTTCGTGCTTTGAGATAAGATGGCCAAGACCAATTTGATCAGTTAATGTGTTTTTATGCATAGTGCTTCAGCAGTTGACATATATAGAGCTCAGCGGAAACATATAAATTATAGCATCTGACCAATGAGAATTTCGCGTCACGATTTGAGACGCAGATATTCAAATTCATTAGTCATCGATGCAGGCTCTGAATTCAGCTTGAGAGCCTGTTCGCAGGCTACCTTGAGGCTTGAGAGTAAAATCATCTTCATTAGATAGAGTATATATTAAAAATAATAAAAGTAAAGTACATCGGGGCACAATCCAACTTATGGGTTAACAGACGTTATAATCATGCAAAGACACTTGGGAACCCTCCCCTTGACGATTGAATAAAATTGTCTGGCATTAAACCAAGTAAAATAATAATGCGCAAGGCTTTGGTGTGAAATGCAACATAATTGGTTAATGCCATGTGACCTAATATGCTACCAGACTATGCCAGTTGTCAAGGAAAGGGACAGAATTATTAGATGTGTGTTAATAATTATATATAATGTGGTTTATGGTCATAGATCAGGGTGTTAGCCAGAAGTACAAAAAAATCCACGTTTACCTGAAATTGGGAAATTTATTTTAGCCTGAAGCCGTGCATTTCTTTGTGCGTCTGGAGGCATGCGGTTGCCCTCTCGATTTTTAAAATTTTTGTGTCTTTGAAATGGCATTTCCCACATTTTGGGAGTAATTTTGAGCAAATGTAGTTATAAACATGTTTTTAATGGCGTATTAACAACATTTTTTGGCTGACCCAAATTGGGAAATTGCGACCTCAAGGTAATTGGGAAAACGGCGTTTAACGCGGAATTTTTTACTGTAGCTAACACCCTGTAGATATAGAAGCTGGATCTCCTATATCTATGTTTATATCAATGGTAATTGGCTGCTCATGCAGATTTATTGAAATTAACCAATTGAGTTGGATTGCACCAATGCGACCTACTTTATAATTTTACTCTGGCTAATGCCAGTCGTTTTCTACTCAACGAGTTAAATTAATAAGCATATGCCCAAAACGGTAGAAAACCAAGGAAATTTGGGACAATGTTTGGTAAAATGTAGAGAAATTACACAAATTCACCCTAATTTTTCAAGTCATATATGAATAGTTGGCCGGCAGCAACTGCTTTACTTTAACCCATTGAGGCCGCTATGCGCCCCAGTGCGCCCTGCTTATTTTTTTACTTGTCTAACACCAGATGATTTTATTTGTCAATGGGGAAAGTCTGCAGCTCAGCTTAATGGGTTAACCATAAAATCTAACAATGTCTCTAGTTAACCCATTGAGCCGCAATGCAACCCAGTGCGCCCTTCTTATTTTTCACTTGTCTAACACCAGACACTAATTTTACTTGTCAATGGGGAAACTCTGCAGCTTAATGGGTTAATGAATAAAATTGTCTGGCATTAGACAGAGTAAAATACTCTATGTTGTGACAGAGTAAAATACTTTGACGTACATAATATGGTAGTATGCTGTTGAAAAGCTCAGGGAGCAAGGAATATCCGAGGATGACCTTTGGTCAAACCAACAGTATCTTCACAAACCAATAGACCTTTCCCCTTTTAAGTGAGATTTTGATCTAGACAAGTCTGGACAAAAATTTCGTCACAGCTTGAAAGAGCATTGCGAAATTAGTAATATTCCGAAGTTTCGTTGCAAAATGTTGTAAAATGCGGATAATATAGCCTCGCGAAGTTTGCCATTTTTCAGTCATTTAGATTACAAACGGGAAATTGATAATAAGATGATCAAACTGATTATCAATTTCCCATTTGTAATCTAAAATGACTGAAAAACGGCAAACTTCGCAAGACTGTATAGCAATGCTTTTATCTGTGACTGTGTATCCGTGCATGCAAATAATGGCTGTTAACATTATTTCTTTACTTTCAGCATCAGTAACTTCCAGGATGGGTAATGACACCTCCCTTCCACTCGCCCAAGTCCCCCCAGGTTTTTCAACAATGTGTATCTCCCTGCACCACACTGATAGTATCACTGTTCTTCACCATGATACTGGGGCATTATCTACCATCCGACAAGCTATCGTTGACAATTGGCCTGATGGTATTCAGAGGGAAATGGCTATATGTGGATCAGGATGGATGTTTAAGGTCAAAGGTATAATTATATATAACCCGTACCTGTGGTTTGAATAAGGGCAGAAGCTACAGTAAAACCCACATAAAAGAACCAGTGGATCAAGAACTGCCAGCCTTAAATTTAGGCAATTAACCCATTGAGTGGCATTGGACAAAGTAAACAAAGCAGGTATATACTGCAGGTAGTTCATATAAATGCTGATTGCATATGCAAAAAAATAATCTGTTAGGCTTTCAGATAGCAATTATTAGACTATAATGCTGTAAAACAAGATGTCAAGAACAATTGTTTTCGACAAGAAATAAGAACTACTTAATCGTAAATCGTTTAAATCTGAAATGTTAAAATTAGTAAAATTGCAAAGTTTGGTTTCGAAATGTTGAAAAATGAGGAAACTGTAGCCCTACAAATTTTGTATTAATTTGTAGTACGCACGGGGAAATGCGCCACTTTCGGCCTAAATGTGGTACCTGAATTTTACCAGGGATAATACAAAATTTGCAAATTTCGCAGGGGTATATTTTCCGCATTTTTCAACATTTCGCGCCCAAACTTTGCAATTTTACTAATAGTTTTAACATGCTCTTTCTAATTGTGGTGATGGATTTTGTTCTTCTCGCCCAGATCAAAATTTAGTCTGTAGCTAAAATCATCCATTATCACGTGTTTTAGTTTATAAACTACAACGTTCTTCGTTGAATCTTGAAGGTACCCCATTTTTCACAAGTTCAAGCTCCAGTTCGTCGCAAGCAAGACAAATTATTGCGGTCATTCTACAAAACTTATACAGCATCGGTTGGAAAATTGTGATCTCGTGCGATCTGGCCCGATTCGACGCCGATAAAAGCTCAATGTTTTTGAAGAGATCTCCAAGCAATTTTTCCTCCGTCCATCCATTTGTATGTGTTGGCCTGACCAGGTCGGATGAGCTGCAAATTATTAATCTACCATCTCAACTAATCGAACCGTTAAAACAGGTCGTATATCAATTTTGGACCAAAGGAATTCAGAACGAATCGTACGAGAACGGTGTGTTAGAAATAAAGATGGCCGGAAAGCCTTTGTTTGCAACTGATCTGCAATCGGTTATGGTCAAAGTACTTCTACAGAACATCATTGCTACCCTTCATCGGTTCCAGTACGTTTACACAGTGAATGTTAATCTGAAAAGTACGGCGGATTCTTTGTACTTTCGTTATGATCCGAACGTGCCGGTCAACGGAGCGGCCCAGTTTTGTACAATCAGTCTGAATCGGACAGATCGGTTACAAGTCATCTGTGCACCAGAGGCTATCGTGAATATGATTCGTGGGGTTATCCAAACTGTGTGGTCTCATGGTAAGATACAAGAGGAAAAGGATCATCATGGCAGCTGGGAGTTTAGAATCTCTGGAAATCCTTGGCATTCTTGGAAAGAAGAATCCGTCATGGCAAGGTAATTTTGATTCGTAATGATTTTATTTTAGCGATGGACATAAATAGAGAGGATTTCGTAATGATCGCCATCTTTTGCATCGGAATAAAATCGGTGGAAAAAATGAAAAGCTGGTTAGCTTAACCCTGGGTTAACGTGAAATTCAAAGCAAATTTCCCAGCAGTTTGTTTATAAACTTGAAAATATTTTTTCGGAAATTTTGACCGGACCATCAGAAGTATAGTTTTTTAAAGTTTTTATATAAACAGACGTGCAGCTATACATAAAGGAAAGCAAAGGCTTAAATTTAACCCAGCACTAATCCTACTTTGAACAACCGGCCCCAGGGCTTACAATTACCTCATTCCCAGACTCCCAGTTGTTGACTGAACCAGCCAGCGGAAAACTGCTTATAGTTTAACTGAACCTAAAGGAGAATGATGTATAGTGTTAATATTGATATTTTTGTTGCAATTTGCGTGTTTTTGTAGATATTTGATACTAAAGATTCTCGAAGCAATGTTAGAGCAAGGGTGGCACAATATTGCAGCAATTGATATCTCACGACGCGCGACAGAGAAATCCGTTCTCATTTTCCAACAACGTGAACCGAGACGTTGTCCAATCATGTGCCTGGGCTTAACTGATGCTGAAAAATTTCTCCTAATTAACATGCCTACCCAGCTGGTTGACCTCTTCAAACAAATTCTCCTTAGTCGATGGCCAAAGGGAATCCGGGAGGAAAGCGTCATGAATCTAAGTTTCGGCAGTGTCCGTCAATTCATGCTGAAAGGCTGGCCTTGGAATGGAGGGCTGAGTAACGATGCTTATCATATCCGAAGCTTTCTCTGTAATATCATCGAGGCTTTTGCCGGACAAGGTTGGAGAGTGCTGATAGCCGGTGATGTTTCTGCCAAGTATATTGACCAAGATAAAGGTTCCGATCACACTGATGTTCACAGTTTCTGGTTCATATATGAACCCAACACGACCCAGCAACCCACCGCCCCGAATGGGGAGAAGAGCTGAACAAACTGATTTAACTATAGTATTTAACTGTATGTATAATTTATTGAATGAGCTTGTTAAGTCGGGACTGTGGCGTATTAGTCTCGTTCTTTTTTCGTTCGGACAGAACAAGCTCAGCCAATAAGTTATTTATTATTTGGCTAAAAAACAAGAACATTCTTCGAAAAACACTGTTTAATAAATTACGACTTACATCGCGAATTAAGTTTTTTACAACACATTAGAGCCATCTGTATACGAGCGAAAATAGGTCTAATGAGTTTCACAGCCTTCTCCCCTTCGATAGGCTATGTTTAGGCCGTGGTTTATAATAATAATAATAATAATAATAATAATAATAATAATAATAATAATAATAATAATAATAATAATAATAATAATAATAATAATAATAATATTTAAAATTTATATAGCGCAAAATACATATGTATATGATCTAATGCGCTTTACAATAAATGAGATAAATACAATCAAAATATAGATACAATATTAATTTACAAATACCTAAAACTACGATTAATAAAAACTATACCTACTGTTCATATGCTAATTTAAAAAGATAAATTTTTAAAGCTGATTTAAAATTAAGTAAACTATTCTCAGCCCTAAGACTGGTAGGTAGTGAGTTCCATAGAGCTCAGTTAGCGCAGCCGCGGCGAATGCTCTATCTCCTGTGGTTTTGTTGGTTCTTTCCTTAGGGTACCCAAAGTAACATTCATTGTTCGAGCGCAAACCATAACGTGATTGTCGTTTAAAAGTTATCGAATCTGAGATGTACCTTGCAGCATGCATTACCTTGCATAGCTTTAAATGTAATTAAAATAACTTTATAGATAATTCTATACTTCACTGGCAGCCAGTGTAGTCTGTACATAACAGGAGAGATGTGACAGAAACGAGGGGTGTTAGACACCAATGTAGCTGCTGCGTTTTGAACACGTTGTAACTTGTTAATTTGATTCGCCGGCAATCCATAAAAAAAGGCTATTGCAATAATCCAAGTGTCCAATAACCAAAGCAAGTACAAGCTTTTGCATAGACTCGTGTGTAAGGTACTTTCTGATACGTCGTATGTTATGCAGAAAGTAAAAAGCTAGGTTACATGTTTTAGTAATATGAACATTAAAATTCGAATCAAATCAAACTCCAAGGTTTCTAGCCTTACTCACTGCAGTTATACTAGAGTTACCAACAATTAATCTATCAACAGTAACTTTTGTCAGTTGTTGACGGGTCCCAACAATCATAAATTCTGTTTTGCCATCATTCATTTTCATCTTGTCAATAACCATCCATGCTCTCACAGCTCTGATGCACTGTTCCATTGCGTTCAATGCTTCCATTTCACTCGCAGAAATGTCCGGTCGAAACGATAAGTATAACTGGGAATCATCAGCATGTGCGTGAGCTTCAGGTAAATGCATCTTGATAACTTCAAACAATTTACTAGCGTAAATTGTGAAGAGTAAGGGCCCTAAACAGGAGCCCTGAGGAACACCGTTAGATACATGACAGGTATCTGACAATCCACCATTAACTGAAACACGCTGAGTGCGACCAGACAAATATGAAGAAATCCAATCAAGCGCTGATCCTGTGACACCAAATGAGGTCTCTAAACGATGTAGTAGGATGGTATGATCCACAGTGTCAAACGCTGCACTTAAATCCAGCAGAACTAAGAGCGACACATGCTTCCGATTCATGTTGAAAAGAATATCATTAACAACTCGTAGCAGGGCTGTCTCCGTACTGTGAAATTGCCTGTACGCCGACTGGAATAAGGGAAGTAGATCACTATCAATTAGATGAGTATATAGTTGATCGAACACCGCTCTTTCGGTAATTTTAGAGACAAATTGTAAATTACTAATAGGTCGCAAGTTCTTATAAGCTGGATCCCGAACACCTTTTTAAAGCCGTGGTTTAACAAGAGCTTTCTTCCGGGAAATGTGCAGTAGAAAGAGAAGTATTCACCATCTTTAAAATCACTGGCATCAGAACGTCCAGAAAATTCCTCACTCATCGCCCACCCGTATAGGTTATTCTTATCGTAATACACGAGGTAACTACTTGGTTGTTCTGGGTCAAAATCACTCAAGTATTTATTATTAACTTTTGCATGTCGATGAGCTATATAACTAGTTCCATCCCGCATTCCCTTCTCAATAAACTGGTACATGTCAACATCGCTCAGCAAATCCAATTCCACACCAGTCCTCCGCATCTAGCATCCCACGAAAGGCCAGGAACCGATATGTAATCAGCCGGATCCAACTTATAGTATTCGAGACAAACCCGCCTGAAATCCTCAAAGACGTCAGCTAGGAGTAGAACGTCAGTTTTCAAGTACAGATCATGATAATCGCCCAAGTTCTCACAGTCAAATCGATTCCAAACTCTTTCTGCCCTACGGTAGTTCTCCTCATTGATACCTTTCTCATTCAACGAACTGTAAAACGCTGGTCTTCCTGGCAACTACTTCTCTTCGAATTTTTCCCACGAGTCCATATACTCATAAGGCTACACTCCCTTTTGCAGTAACATCTCAAGGTCATCCCCCTGCCATTCCAACCGCATCTGCCTAAGCTTTTCGCTTTCCAAGTTACTCGCAAGCGTGTCAAGGCCCTTATTCATAAATTGCATGGAATCTATGAAGACCATGCAATTGCTTTCCAACTCTAAATGAGATATACCTCTCCATATTATTAGCAATCACATCCACACATTCGCTGATCCCCGCTCAATTTCCTGCATTATAAAGTGACTATCATATCCACGTAGATTGTGAAACACCACAGGAATCTTGTCGGCCAACTTAAAATTCAAGTTACATGAATTATGCGCTGCTTTCCTGAACTTTCCAGTTACATGAGAGTGATAGAGTACCTTCCCATCTTCATTACTAAAAGTTCCACCGCATATGTGACACTCATTTTCAGACTCAAATGTTTTCCAGTCCTGCAGAGCACTCATCACCACGGGTTTAGCGAACTCTTTTTGTATCATTTTATTGCACACTTCAACTTCACTCAATAACTCCATCAGAAACTTCCTTACAGCTCCGGGCCCTCTGTAACTTCGGTATTCACCGCTGTACTTGTCATCATAGTAGCAGACTCTTTCGAACCCGTAGCTGCACGCCTCATGTCTTTGTATTTTACGTAAGCACCCCTTTTCCTCTCTGACAGTGCATCCGGCAATATTTATAATTGTGACAATCTGCAAACTTGGAAAGCTACAGCATGTGTATCAAATGTAGAAGGGCTAGTCCTTTAATCGAGTTTTAACTTTAAGTTATTGTCAGTGGTGCCTAAATTACTTTGATTTTATACTTGAGTAAAAGTAGAAGTAATTCGCATTAAAACGACTTGAGTAAATGTAAAAAGTACTGGAGAGAATACGTACTTGAGTAAAAAGTACAAAGTATTTTTCAAAAATACTTAAGTACAAGTAAAAAGTACAAGTACTGTATAGAGTATATCGAGGAATGATACTCTGGATTAGACTAATAGACCACCAACAATACGATAGTTACATAACGCAATTTTACCTTCAGGCCTCTTGGGATTTTCAATTTTTTATTAAATTTTAATTAAGCACTACTGGGGGATTATGATGGGTGTCTACGGCTACAAGGGATTTCAAAGTTGCAATTTAATACCAATGACACGCAAATACCTGTACATGTTTTCTTAGGTTTGAAGGCGACGAAATGAACGCAGATATCTCTCTAACAAGTGGCGAGCAAAGGCAACATATGAATTTGATGCTCTTGTTCTCTCTTCCCACTCTTCCATTGTAGCGAAACATTGACTTCAAATATGGCCAAGGATGTTCCTCCTCTTCTCCTTTTTTACCGATAGTATTAACACCTTCTAGTCCTTGTCCTTCGTTCAAGACTTCGTCTGCAATATGCAAATCACTGTCGGCCATGGCTGCCCAAGCAATTCGGGTAGAGTTCAATGATTGGGCCAGTGAATTCGGCGCAATAATTTGGCGCGAAACGCGTGTATTGTCGCATGTGTTCAGCGGAATATATTAATTGTCTGTACTTCGTGTAAATAACTATAAATTTGATTGCGATTGGAGTCGAGTTTAAAAATCGAAATTCATTTTAGAAATCACCGAATCAGGTAAAAGATAGAACTAAAATTTGATAATACCATAAAAGTAACGGAATACTTCACCGCAAAATAAAAATAACGAAGTAAAACGTTACTTTTTGAATTTACTTCGTTCCAAGTAGAAGTACTCAGTCAAAAATTTACTTCGTTGAGGGTCCTGAAGGGTTCTCCGCAAAATTAGTACTCAAGTAAAGTAACGAAGTACATTTACTTCGTTACTTGTCACCACTGGTTATTGTTAGTTGCCCGTTGCATCAATGGTAAATTTCATTTTGTCTTATAATTGTAATTTATATAAATTATTTGTTAAAATTATTGTAATTTTAATGTTAAATATTTTGATACGTGTGTGTTGGTGTTGCACTGGTTGCCTGACCATGCACGGTGGCAATCGAACCAGCGACCTTTGGGATACTATCCAATGCTCTACCAGCTGCTCTAGATACCAAATGCTCTACCAACTGAATTGGTATCTCAAAGGTCGCGGGTTTGATTTCCACCATGGTCGGGCAAACTTTTTAGCCTGCCCAGTGTGGATGCACACTCAGAGTAACAGAACAAACATTAAATATTTGGTCACCATAATTGGAAAACTAGCTGTGGCCATAGATATCTTATATACACTAGATAGCGCATCTCTTTTAGTAAAATTGAAGCCAAGAATATTCCAGCGGTTACCCCCATTTGAATAGATGGCGGCCATGTTGGTTGTTCCCACTCGCTAATAAACGATTAAAAACAACAATAACTTTCATCATTTGAAAAGTTTAAAAACGTATTTGGAATAGGGTTAACTTAATGCTTAAGTTCCCCAGAGGCGCCGGAAGCAATCTAGGGCGGGGGGGGCAGCTTCTCAAAAAAGGGCAATTTGTTTTACTGGCAAGCAAACAAAAAAGCTTAAATTTAGAAAACGACCTGTCTTTATTGAAATCTATAATTGAAAAATGACTCTCATATGGAACTCAACGTGTTGTGCAATTGTGATTTCGGCGATATTATATTTAATTACTTTTATAAGAACAAAATAACTGACATGTGCTAAAATATTAATGAAAATATGAAATTATATGTACAAACGGTAACAAACTACTAATTTAGAGTTTAAAATTTTCCAAAATAACGCCACCTTTGTTCGTTTAACGTTACAAACACTTTAGCAATGCTTTTGCTATGTACTGCGTCAATACGTCCCTTGTGGATAGCAGCGAACATTCTATTATTTAGGCTGTTCTTGGACATGGTAGATCTGAGCCACGACTTTATACGGCGCATATAACGATAAACTTCTTTCTGCTGTAGCGGAACTAATTGGAACTAATTATTTTTAGTTTTGTCTTATGCTTTATTACGCATGCCTATTCGATCTACAATGAAGGTGATAGCTTTTCGAGCGCGCACACTTGGAGGAAATGTTCATTCGTGACTGAAATTAATTATTCAACATGTTGAATATTCGGTGCCGATGGAACGCGTGGGTAAAATCGTTCAAAACGCCACCGCACACTGGAGGAACTTGCTTACGCCAACAATCACGAGTGACGCTCAGCTCAGCTGATAAAATAATTCAATCTCTATGAGCAAAAGGCAAAGCTGCCCCCGTCCACAAAGGGCAGGGAGGGCAGCTGCTCCCGCTGTCCCGGTGGCTCCGGCGCCCCTGAAGTTCCCTGTTTTATCTGTTTTATAAGAAATGGAAAACATATGAATCTTCTCATTTCATCGGAACGACCTGAGACTGCAATCACAGCTTCAATTTTTGAATTGCAGAATAATTAGATGCACTATTTAGTGTATATATAAGATATCTAGGGCTGTGGCCAATTTCCTAGCACTTATAATATTACTTTATTTTACTCTGTCTAATGCCAGATGATTTTACTTGTCAGGGGAGAATGCATTTTACTCTGTCTAACGCCAAATGATTTTACTTGTCAGGGGGAGAATGCTGCCACTCATTGGATTAATTAAAATCAAGCATCAAGAAAACATCAGCTACAGTGTAAGACTTAATTAACCCAAGAATTATATTTGCCAGGATAGTCCACAATGTAATCTGTCATCACTTGATTAATTTGATAGCATGTGTATAATTTAAACTAGTTACCCACAGGGTAGTGAATGCTGCCTTGGTATAGCATTGTTCCCAAATCTTTAATATTTTAAAGAATAAGAGTAAGAAATATTTGTAATTAAATGGAATCATCCATAATGTTTAGTTGCCTGTTATTTCATATTTCTATAGTGACAATCGAAGTGTCAACCGATGTTAGTTTCATTGCATTCGTCTCGTCCGGAAACGCTTATTAGCATAATTAGCGTATAACACTAACATCAGTGTTGTATAATGCGTACAACGCCGTATACTGCGAGTCCCTTTCGTTACATATTTTTGGAAGCCTGTGCAACTTTCTTGCTTCGGCGGGTCTTGCTAGTACTCGCTAACGCGTCAGCATTGGGGAGGTCTATAAGTCCTGGGGAAATCACCTAGTGCGGGTCTTCTTTTACCACGTACGAATACGCTGAATAGTAATTTTTAAGATTGTCTGCGGAAAGGTTAAATTAAATGCCACATTTACTCATTTCGAGCTTTCGATAGCTCGCCACCTCGATCTTGTGGACAATTTTTTTTTGCCGTGTGGAAGTGACTACCGCCCATTCCATGAGCCTCCGACATTCCCACCTACTTAGTGCTCCTTCCTACCCATGTGTCGACAACTATATCTGCAAATTGTGCTCTAGAAAGATGTGAAATGTCACATTGACCATAAGTGATTATAAAGCAAACGTTTTTTACCTTCGGAGTACCCGAATTAGCAGTTGATTCAGCCGTTACCCGCATGCGAAAGTAACCGGATGTTATATTACTATACTATAAATTAACAGTAAGTGTGACATATCTAGCATAAAACATTCGCGATACATATCTTTATATTGACGGACTATATAACCTCTCAAATAACCCACTTGTGCTCAGCCGAAATTTGTAAAAACAAAACAACGATTAAGAATGCTATATGACATAACAAGTTATATTCATATCCTGTTAATTATTAACTTTGAGAATTTTAATGGAACTTAATTGTTTTAAAATGTTATATTAGATCTTCTGTGAACGAAATGGAGCAGAAATACCTCGAGAAATACTTCGTTCCCAGAGCATTCTATCCCCTGTACTTTTGAGATATACAATGGTGTTATGCCATATGGGACCCAGACAATCACTTTCAGAAGTTGTTGGGACACATGTAGTTTTTATAGACACAATACCGCTCCCCTCCCCCCACCCCAATCAATGTTGCTCCAACCAAAACACATCAAACCTGACGAGAAATGGGACACAACATTGAATAGGGGGCGGGGGGATTGACGTTTTGTTGAAATTCAAAGGTTTTGTGGCATCTGTCCCAAGACTTTTGAAACTGATTGTAGCTCCTTTTAATAGTGCTGATACTTTTGAAATATTCATGGCCAAAAATATCATCAGTCAGAAATACACGGACTTTGACCCCAGCTTCGTGAATGTTCGGTTTATGCTCGGAGATCGTCGTGACACGGACGAAATTTTGGAAAAAAATTATTTTTAAAATTGATACATATTTTACATATTTTGTGTGACATTGTTTACTGTCGCCAGACAGCAGATTGCCAAGGAGTGCCAAGGACTCTGCCAAGGACCTGCAAATCTGTAAAATTTTCCTATATTTTGGACCGGTAAGCCACTGTATGTAAACTCATTTAAATATTGTTCAAGAGATCATAAAAATCACTGTAATTCCGTCTGCGAGTTTGGATTATGAAATGTGCCAATTATGAATATGTACCAATGCAATTTTAGCTCGTAGACTTTCAGCGTTTGTTAATGTTTATAGGATAATACAAGAATATATAAATATTTGTATAGTGGTATAAGGTTGGAAATCTGTAGTATCTTTACTTTACAAGCTCAGATTTTACAAATTGACTCGTGAATCAGCATTTATATTTTTGAATAAAAAATGTCACTGAATTGTGTATCAGCTGTGCTTTATTGGAGGAATGAAAATTTAAGATTTTGATGAAGTGATCCTCAAAAGATGAACATTTAAACCATTGCAGATTGAGAGCCAATGCTCTCTCCTTGAGGAGTAAAGTCATCTCCATTAGATAGAGTATATTAAAAATAATAAAGTAGAGTGCATTAGGTCACAATGAAACTTATAAATTACCAGAGACGTACACTTGGGCACCCTCCCCTTGACGATTGAGTAAAATTGTCTGGCATTAGACAGATTAACATAATAATGTGCAATGCTTTGGTGTGCAATGCAATGTAATTGGTTGAACTGCAATGTGACCTAATATATAAATGCTACCAGACTGTACCAGTTGTCAAGGAATTAGGGACAAAATTATGGTTATACTGTATATATAGAAGCGCTTTATGGTTATATATAGAAGCTAGGTCTCCTATATCTATGTTTATATCAATGGTAATTGGCTGTTCATATTTATTAAAATTAACCCATTGAGTTGCATTGAACCAATCGGATCTACTTTATAGACTTTATAATTTTACTCTGGCCAAATTGGCAATGCCAAACTGTTCTACTTGATGAGCTAAACATAAGCATATATGCCCAAAATGTAGAAAACCAAGGAAATTTGGGACAATGTTGGGTAAAATCTAGAGAAATTACACAAATTCACCCTATATGCTAGGTCATATATGAATGGTGGCAGCAAGTAGCTGCTTTTCCTTTATTGAATAAAATTGTCTGGCATTAGACAGAGTAAAATACTCTGTATTGTACATTTGACAGAGACTCTGTATATAATATGGTAGTATGCCGTTAAAAAACTTACAGAGCGAGGAATCCAAGGATGACCTTTGGTCAAACCAACAGTATCTTCACAAACCAATTGAGTAAACTGTGCAACAGACCTAAAAATTGCACTGTATAGCAATGCTTTTATCTGTGACTGTGCATCCGTGCATGCAAATAATGGCTGTTAACAAATTTCTTTCTACTTTCAGCATCAGTTACCAAGATGGGTAATGACACCTCCCTTCCACTCGCCCCAGTCCCCCCAGGTTTTTCAACAATGTGTATCTCCCTGCAATACAGTGATGGTATCACTGTTCTTCACCACTATACTGGGGCATTATCTACCATCCGACAAGCCATCGTTGACAGTTGGCCTAATGGTATTCAGAGGGAAATGACTATATGTGGATCAGGATGGATGTTTAAGGTCAAAGGTATATATAACCCATACCTGTACTTTGAATGAGGCCAGAAGCTACAGTAAAATCCTGCATAAATTAAAGAACCAGTGAGTGGATTAAGAACCACCAACCTTAAATTTAGGCAATTAAACCATTGAGTAGTGTTAGACCATGGATTGTAAAATAACTGGATAGGAAACTAGCTGACGTCACAGGCTAAACCTAGTTGCAATCTGTGATAAAGTAAACAAATTGAATGGCAGGGTGCCTGAAAGCAGGCATATACCATAATATTATTAGTATAATAGAAATTTACACATTAAATAGCTAAGCTAAATTACAATGTGCTCCAAACAGAGCTTTTACTGTTTTAAAAAATTAATTAAGAATGAAATAAGAACTATTGTAGTGTCTATTTATTATTAATATTATCTTACAGGTAGTTTAAATATATGCTAATTGTGTATGCAAAAACATAATCTGTTAGGCTTTCAGATCATAGGCGTACCCAGTGGCATAGCCAGCCCTACAATTTAGTCCCGCTATGCAAATTGAAAATTATTATCATTATTCATTTCTTTAGAAATTGATTGTTTTCACAGTCAATGACATGAAAATATTTGCATAGCGGGACTAAATAGTCGGGCTGGCTACGCTACTGGGCGTACCGTTGGGCAGTCGGGCAATATTCAATCAACAGTCGGGCACTTTTGGTTTTTTACAAAAATAAATGGGACAAATTCTGTCGATTTTGTCGAAAATTCAGTCAATTTTGTGGCCAATTTAGTGTTTTTTTGAAAATTTGTCTGATGTTATGAAAAATTTTGGTACGTCCGGAAAAATTTTTTGACCCCTAAAATGGTACACTGAAACACAAAAAAATTTTCGGGACTAGTCGGGCACATTCCCGAAAAGTCGGGCAATTTTCTTTACACCCCCCTAATTTTTTCCTTCGGGTACGCCCATGTTTCAGATAACAATTATTAGAAGGAAATGAGGGCCTGACTGCAGACAACACGTCAAGAAACGAAATACACACACTTTTCGCACTGCCCAATTGGCTCTATGCAACATATAAAGTCATATTAATTATTTTGGCGTTATAAACATTTCGTATTGTATTGTTACAAAAGTAAAAATATACATGCAGAACGACGACGTTTACGTTTTACAAACAAAAATACATAGTACAGGTATATTGCATTAATTAAATTGTATTCGCTCGAAATAACACACCATTTAAACGCTTTCAGACAGTATGAATAAAAATGCTACAAGATTTAATAAATATGACATAACGGACCATTAGAAATCCGGGGGGGGGGGGTGAAAATTAAAGAAAAAAATTCGTGCAAAGAAAAATGCCTGGAAAAAAATTCGTGCAGCCATTACGTCAGAGAAAAAAAATTCGTGCAAGCAAACAGCAAAGTACAAACAGTCTTGAAAAAAAAAATCGTGCAGAGGTTAAATGCAGTAAAAAAAAATTCCTGCAGAGACATGAGACTGAAAAAAAAAATCGTGCCGCAAAAATTTTATACCCCCCTCCCGGGATTTCTAATGGTCCGCTCCTTAGTTAACTTTTTCAAAAAAAGGTCTGTCAATCAACTTTTGCGTTGTGTGGATAACGCGTATTTCGTTTCTTGATCTGTTGTCTGCAGTCCCTCCTTCTAAGACTAAGTAGGTGACTGTACGCAGTAACTATACTCAGCCTGAAATCATTTAATGTAAAGCAAAAATGTATTTAGCCCTGGTCAAACGAAGATCCGAGTTGACGAGAGTTGGCAAGCGAAAGTTTGTATTTGAGTTTTCTTAACACTCACGCGCCTGACAAACGAGAACAAGAGTTACATGAGAGTTGACCGGATACTGCGCGCATCATGGCAAAACGTCTTATCAAAATTTGAACCAGTTCAAAGTTGATGAGAGTGCATGAGAGTCAATGAGAGTTGGCGGTTGAACGCGAGCGATCAGAGAGATGCAACTGTCATCAACGTCAAACAGGGATCTCAGAAAGGGAACGGCTAATGGGAGAGCTAAGATTTCGGAGAATTAAGTTCGAACCACGCCCACTTTTTCCAACGTCCACACCCAATCCCTTGCTCTCCCGGGGCTGGTTGTTGAAAAGCCGATTATGGCTTAACCCTATAGGTTAACCTAAAAATTAAAAGCAAACTTTCCAACAGCTTTTTTATAAACTGGAAATCTTATCTTGATTAGTACAGGGTGTCCACGGGCCTTGAAAATCTTGGAAAGTCCATGAATTGGAAAAAAATTCCAGGACTGGAAAGTTCTTGAAAATCAGAAGAAGTCCTTGAAAGTCCTGGAATTAATTTCCTTAATCTCCAGCTGTGCCAACATTAGTGATTTTGATTAAAATTACTGAATAAAGTGAATTATTTACGCAAATCCGTGCCATTTTGAAAGATTTTTCCAAGTTCTAGGTCCTTAAATTTACTCGCAAAAAGGGCCTTGAAAGTCCTGGAAAAGTCCTTGAAAATTTCACCTTCACCAAAGGGTGGACACCCTCTTAGTAGGAGTCTTAGAACTTCTCTAAAGTTTTGAAACAAACAAACGTGCAAAAATACATAAACTAAAACAGCAGGTTATTTTTAACCGAGGATTACCGCTAATCCAGCATTGAACAACTGGCCCCAGGTGATGTTCCTTTCAAGTAAAATGGGATAGTGAATTTGCTGTAACTCTCTTCCGTCACAACGTAAAAAAATACGTATATACTTATACTTAGTTAATGGATGATTCCAGCTATACTATATACTAAATTTTGATCTAGGCAAGAAGAACAAAATCCATCACCACAGCTAGAAAGAGCATGTTGCAAAGTTGGTTGCGAAATGTTGTAAAATGAGGACAATATAGCCCTAGGAATTTGCAAATTTTGTATTAATTTGTATTACGCACGGGAAAATGCACCACTTCCGGCCCAAATGTGGTGCATTTTCCCGGGCGTAATACAAATTAATACTGACAAAATTTCGCAGGGCTATATTTTCCGCATTTTAAAACATTTCGCGGCCAAACTTTGCAATTTTACTAATTTTAACATGCTTTTTCTAGCTGTGGTGATGGATTTTGTTCTTCTTGCCAAAATCAAAATTTAGTCCGTGGCTGGAATCATCCATTAATCACGTGTTTTAATTAAACGACAATTTTCTTCGTTGAATCTTGAAGGTACCCCATTTTTCACATGTTCAAGCTCCAGTTCGTCGCAAGCAAGACTGATGATTGCGGTCATTCTACAAAAATTATACAGCATCGGTTGGAAGATTGTGGTCTCGTGCGATCTGGCCCGATTCAACGATAAAAGCTCGATGTTTTTGAAGAGATCTCCAAGCAACTTTTCCTCCGTCCATCCGTTTGTATGTGTTGGCCTGAGCAGCTCAGATAAGTTGCAAATTATTAATCTACCATCTCAACTGATCGAACCGTTAAAACAGGTCGTATATAAGTTTTGGACCAAAGGAATTCAGAACGAATCGTACGAGAACGGTGTGTTAGAAATAAAGATGGCCGGAAACCCGTGGTGGTCAACTGATCTGCAATCGGTTATGGCCAAAGTACTTCTACAGAACATCATCGCAACTCTTCATCGGTTCCAGTACGTTTACACAGTGAATGTTAATCTGAAAAGTACAGCGGATTCTTTGTACTTTCGTTATGATCCGAACGTGCCGGTCAATGGAGCGGCCCAGTTTTGTACAATCAGTCTGAATCGGACAGATCGGTTACGAGTCATCTGTGCCCCAGATGCTATCGTGAATATGATTCGTGGGGTTATCCAAACAGTCTGGTTGCATGGTAAGATACAAGAAGAAAAAGATCATCATGGCAGCTGGGAGTTTAAAATTTCTGGAAATCCTTGGCATTCTTGTAAAGAAGAATCCGTCATGGCAAGGTACATGTAATTTTGATTCGTAATGACTTTATTTTAGCGATGGGCATAAATAGAGAGGAAATCGTAAATGATCGCCATCTTTGGCATCGGAATAAACTGGGTGGAAAAAATGAACTTCAGGGGCCGGTTGTTGAAAAGCCGGTTAGCTTAACCCTGGGTTAACGTGAAATTCAAAGCAAACTTCCCAGCAGTTTGTTTATAAACTTGAAAATATTTTTTCAGAAATTTTGACTGGACCATCAGAAGTATAATTTTTTAAAGTTTTTATATAAACAGACGTACAGATATACATAAAAGAAAGCAAAGGGTTAAATTTAACCGGCCCGAGGGCTTACAATTACCTCATTCCCAGACTCCCAGTTTGTTGACTGAACCAGCCAGCGGAAAAATGCAGTTAAATGCAATTTAACTAAGTTAACAACGAAGAGCGCAGTTAGTGTGTTAGTTAGTATGGTCAGTGATTTCTGGCATACCAGCATGCGCATGGCGATAGGTCAGCTGTTAGTATTTGAGCATGCGCAAACAATAGGCACGCATTGTTCGGAAATCCTTCTAGACTTGGGTGCTTATTAATCGAAAGTTTGTATTTATTTATTAATTTTATTTTTCAATTTATTTTATTTATTTATTTTTTTTCCACTGACCCAGTCAGTGTGACAGGTGCTTGGGTCTGGTGTGGGGGCTCATGGCTGGGAATTGCAAGCATCCATACATGTCCAATACTGTCGCATGCATACGGATGGACAAAGTTATTTACCATCCGTAACCTATATTTTCGTTTCGTGACTTCCTTTCCATCACGTGGTCGGATCTAAATAATTGCATCATGCTGCGCATCCTGCATGCACCCCACGAAAAACCTTATACCATCCGTACCATTCGTACGGATGGTACGGACGGAAAATCTTGAGTTTACGATCCGTCTGAGCGAGCACACTACACCGTTTCATGTTTCGAGCAGCTCCATACACAGCTCCATATACATACAATTTACTTACTCGTTCTTGATATGTCAAAAAATTCACGAATAATATGTTGTTGCCTCGTTCTTAAGAAACGACGCAATATAACAATATAATATTTGTTGTTGCTTGTCAAAAAATTCACGCCATATATCAATATAATATGTCATTGCTTCGTTCTTAAGAAACGACGCAATATATCAATATAATATGTTGTTGCCTCGTCCTTAAGACAGACGTAATATATAAATATAATTTATGTTGTTGCTTGTCAGAAAATTCACGCAATATATCAATATAATATGTCGTTGCTTCGTTCTTAAGAAACGACGCAATATATCAATATAATATTATGTTGTTCCTCGTCCTTAAGACAGACGCAATATATAAATATAATTTATGTTGTTGCTTGTCAAAAAATTCACACAATATATCAATATAATATGTCGTTGCTTCGTTCTTAAGAAACGACGCAATATATCAATATAATATTATGTTGTTCCTCGTCCTTAAGACAGACGCAATATATAAATATAATTTATGTTGTTGCTTGTCAAAAAATTCACACAATATATCAATATAATATGTCGTTGCTTCGTTCTTAAGAAACGACGCAATATATCAATACAATATGTTGTTGCTTGTCAATATACATACAATTTACTCGTTCTTATGTGTCAAAACATTCATGCAATGTGTGGAAATAATATGTTGTTGCCTCGAGATCGTTCTTAAGAAAGGACGCGATATGTAGTCAATATCAGTATATTAAAATGAATCAAAATGATTAACGGCTTTAATTAAGCCTTAAGTAAAGCCGAAGATTAACTTTTATTATATAAAGCTGCGCGTGTCATAAACACTATAAACATGACGATTCTCCCGTTCTGAAAAGCCAAGGAATAAAAAGGAATATTAACTTACATAAAGCTGCGTATTATATATACATACACTTCTCATGGGGAACACTAAATTCTGTTGCTCTATTTATTTGGTTATTTCATAAGTAACATTTAAACGGATTTAAAGTTTTACGTGCCTGTTCGTGCGTAGGAAAAACGCAACACTGGAAAGCAGCCTAATTAACTCTCGCAGGTCACCTAATTTCGTCTTGTTGCTTGAAGCACTTCATATTAAATATCATTCACCTACTTTAAATTCTCGTCTTAAAGCAAGGAAAAAACTCAAGCTTTTTTCATAATTTTACACCTACATTTTACCACACTCCTGCGCCGCAAACCTGTCATGGTTCCTTGATTGAGACTTCCGTATGATGATTTCATGCATTACCAAATTCTCAAGATATAAGTTGCAACACGGTTAATAGAAGGAGACTGGTTTGGCTAGCCGGCGAACATCAAAGTAAGGCGGCAAATATGTTAAGGATCAAAGAAAAAAATATCACGTGACCAGATGAGTGCATGGGCTTTGTGTGGGCTTTATAATTTAATATGCTTCAATTTGAAATTTGATATACTTCCTTCTCAAAAATCGAACGAAAGACCGCTTGAGAAACCGAAATCAGAAGACATGGAATGGTACGGATCGACAACATTTTTTAGGCTTCCCTTAGACAATCGAACGCTTTATTAGGCTTCCCTTAGACAATCGAACGCTTTAGCACTAGATTCACGGATAGACAATTCATATTTTCCGATCGTGAATCCCCAGTCCATCCGTTACCAATCGTACGGATCGACAACATTTTCCGAGACCTCCCTTAGCCACACACAAGCTTACACAAAAGCTTTAGCACTAGATTCACGGATCGACAGTTCATATTTTCCGATCGTGAATTCCTAGTCCATCCGTTACCAATGGTACGGATCGACAACATTTTCGAGACCTCCCTTAGACACTTCGACAACATTTTCGAGACCTCCCTTAGACACTCGAACGCTTTAGCACTAGATGCACGAATCGACAGTTCATATTTTCCGATCGTGAATTCCCAGTCCATCCGTTACCAATGGTACGGATCGACAACATTTTCGAGGCCTCCCTTAGACACTTTTAGAACGCTTTAGCACTAGATGCACGAATCGACAGTTCATATTTTCCGATCGTGAATTCCCAGTCCATCCGTTACCAATGGTACGGATCGACAACATTTTCGAGGCCTCCCTTAGACACTTTTATTATTATTATTATTATTATTATTATTATTATTATTATTACAACATCTTTATACACGGTAACTAATCAACCATATTACCTATCAGTATTTACAAAA